CGCACACACACACACACACACACACACATACACACATACATACACAATCACACACACACAAACACTTATGCACGCTCACAAACGCTCTCAGTGAGGAGCAGAGGTCACGAAACTGCCATGGTTTTGGGTGGCCCGGGGTGGAAGGAACAAAACCGCCCACATAAGAATCACTGGATGGCTCGGATTAGTGGACTAGGGGCCTACATCGTGCAAGTGTTGGAACGTCATGTTGTACCCTGATTTTCGTCATGGTGTCCTCTCCATGCAGAGCAAAGCACTTTCTCCTAGGGCGAATGCCACTTGACAATTATTGGAAAACCAAATCACATTATCAAGGTTTGTGTGGTCACCAGTAAATAGCCCCGATATGAATCCTACAGGTATATGAAGTCCCATGAAACAGCAGCTGAAGGAAAGCGACTTTGCCCCAAATTCAGACCCTTTATTTGCAACTCTCTGAGATATTTGGGATGAAATAACAGATAATTATGTACAAAATTTAATCGAATCGGAGTCCAAAGGTTCCGTGCTCAACACAAAACCAATGGCTCCTGCACAAAATAACAATGAGCACAATTAATATTAAGTCCAAGTTTTGCTGATATTTGCGATTGCTCTGTTTTCTGTTTTGTTTGAAACTACGGTAATAAAATATTGTAAATTGCAGAAAAAAAATCTGCATTCATTAGATAAGCCATGTAAGTCCATTCTATCAATATTAATGCTCCTCCACACGCACGAAGACAATTTTACATTTCTTTGATTTTCTCACAATTTTGCCAAGCCCGATTCTTCAAGGTCACTTTTGAGTGACCATAACTCGGGGAGTCTCTTAATATAGATGAAATATAATGGTGTCAGATGATGGAGATTTTATTTAGTTTGGAATTGGTAAGCTGCGTAAGTGGGTAGTGCAAAGGGAAAAACATGATGGTTGGGTGATTACATTTTCAAGTTTCTTGTAGACGCCACAGTATATATATATATATATATATATATATATAT